CAGAATTCCCCAGCCAGCGAATGCTGGCTGGGGAATTCTGGGAGTTGAAGTCCGGACATCTTCAAGTTGCCAAGGTTGGGAAACACTGTCTTAGAGGACCCACAACTCCTGGAGGTTCCACTGATGGTCAGGAAATTCCTTCTCAGTTGTAGGTCGGGTCTCTCCTTGATAGGTTTCCATCTACCGTTTCTTCAGCCTGACTGAGAAGGGCCCACGGAGCATCTCGTCTCTCCATCGGGTCAACTGTTCTGCTTCGGTCTTTATCTTGGTTGGTTTCCCTGGTTTAGAAGAGTCCCACTTCTGGCTGGCTCTTCTGCTGGGCCTCCTGCTCGCTCTGGCTCTCCTTGGGAACGGTGCCATGGTCTACAACGTGGGTGTTGAGCGAAGCCTCCACCAACCCACGTATCTTTTCCTCCGCGTGCTGGCAGCCGACGACATCCTGCTCTCCCTCGCAATGGTGCCCAAGATGGTGGCCAACACTGGGCTCAACTCCACCAGCATCGCCTTCGACGCCTGCCTGCTCCAGATGTTCTGCATCCACAGCTTATCAGGAATGGAGTTGTCCCTCTTGTTGGCCATGACTTTTGACCTCTACGTTGCCACCCACTGAGCCACACTTTCATCCTCGCTGGGCCCAGGATATCTAAGGGAGGCCTGGGGGCAGCAATCCGTGGGGCAGCCTTGATGGCCCCCTTCTCCGTTTTCCTTAAGAGGCTGCCCTTTTGCAGATCCTCTCTCATCCCTACTGCCTTCATGGGGATGTCATGAAGCCGGCCTGTGCCAGCACCAAAGTCAATATTATCTATGGGCTGGTGGTCAACCTTTTGGCCATTGGGCTGGATTCACTCCTCATCTCCCTTTCCTGCGTCTTCATCCTGAAGGCGGCCCTCCCTCCGCCTGTCCCAGGAGGCTCACCTGAAGGCCCCGGGCACCTGCTTCTCCCACCTCTCTGCTGTCTTCCTCTTCTTTGTCCCCTTCATTGGCCTGTCCATCTCCCACAGGTTTCAGGGGGCCCATGGCTCCAACAGCCCTCTTGTCCTGGCCAACCTTCTGATGCCTCCGGTGCTCAACCCCCTTGTGGACAGGGGGAAGACCGAGGAGATCGGGCACAGAGTCACCCACTCCCTCCACAGGATGGGCCTGAGAAGGACCGTCCAGGATTCAAGGCCATAGCCAACTCAAGGTGTTTCTGCCTGTGGTCTCCCTGGGAGCCACGGAGGTGATTTTGGGATTGTTAGGGATTTTCTGAATCAGGTCACAGACTCAAAGACTGTTCCCACAAAAAACTCATTAATTGGAGAAAATGGAGTTCCTAGTTCTTAATTCTAAATTAATGCTAATTCTGTACTTGCTTCTGAGCCGAGGTGGCTCAGTGGTTAAATGCAGCACTGCAGGCCACTTCAGCTGACTGCAGTTCTGCAGTTCCATCTCCAAATGTCTCTCTCCATCTTCTGGGTCAATCTCTCTCTCTCTTTCTTTCTCTCTCTCTCTCTCTCGCTCGCTCGCTCCCTAGCTCTTGGGACTTCCAGGCCATGTGAAGCACCCAGCAGCCTTCTGGCCACCATTCACTCTCTCTGTGTGTGTGTGTGTGTGTGTGTGTGTTTTGTCCCTGACTTAATAGAAAGCCTGGAAGGATGTTTTGCCTCCCTGCTCTGTGCAGGATAACAAACTTGTTGTGTTGTAATGATGGGCACCAGCACAGAATTGGGAGGGTCCTTGTCTGTGGCCCCCATGGTCAACCGGG